TCTCTCTCTCTCTCTCTCACTCTCACACACACACGCACACACACACACACAAACATAATCATAATCACTATAATAAAGCATCTTGAATGATTTTCATTGTAATGTGATGTTTGTCAGTTGTTGGTGAATTCGGCAGAATCGCTGTGGAGTTTCTGAAAAAAGGCTCGAATCCTAAAATATATGAGGGAGCTGCACGTGAGTTATTAATATGATAGTAATATCTGGGCTTGTTTATGAGCTGATGTCGATTGATCTGTTGAAAGATGTCTTGAAAGCTGAATAAATACTGTTTTTTTTTTTTGTCTTCATGACATAATTGTTTATGAATTTAAATGCATACTTTCATATTCAAATGTATATTTATTTTCATTTTAAATTAAATATTATAATTATTAAATTTATTATTTACTGTGGAATGATTTTTAAAGTAAACATCATTATACATGTTCAGACTTTGTTTCATCAAATGAAAAAAACAACAACAACTGGAAATGACAGTTATTATAATTATGTAGGAAACTCCAAGACAGCAATAAATCCATAAACGCTTTTGCTGTAAAATATTTCAAAATAAGTAAATGTAACTTAATGTGTGTCAAACAGCTAGGTTTGGTGTTAAACTAGTGCTGTCAAACGATTAATCACATCCAAAATCCAAAAGTTTTTATTTACATAATATATGTGTGTGTGTACTGTGTATATTTATATAAATACACACACATGCATGTATATATTTAAGAAAAATGTTATGTTTATATATTAAATATATTTATATATAATATAAATTCAATGAATATAAATGTATACATGTAAATATTTTCAAAATATATGCATGTGTGTGTCATATATATATATATATATATACACATACATACATAATATGCACAGTGCACACACTTATATTATGTAAACAGAAACGTTTATTTTGGATGGATTAATCGTCTGGCAGCACTAGTTTAAAGCGATCATGAGCAGATGTCACAGGTTGTTGTTGTAGGGAAGCTGAATGTGTCGTCAGAGAGCGTGCAGCACGGCGTGGAGGGCCTGATGTATCTCCTCACCGAGAGCTCCAAGCTAACGGTGCGTCTGTCCATCACAGACACTGCTAGAGCAGCAACAGCTGGATGAAAGTCAAGATTAGTTACTATACAGTGAACTTTATTTCTGGTGTAATCTTGCAGATCTCGGAGGTGGATTTCCAGGACTCTGTGCTGGTGCTGGGATTCTCAGAGGAGCTCAATGCACTTCTGCTCCAGCTGTATTTAGAGAACAGGAAGGAGGTCCGACAGATCCTCAGCAAACTCGCCCCCAGCCTCCCACATTACCACAACCTGGAGTGGAGGCTCGATGTGCAGGTGAGACTGAGTCTATCACACTCTACTCTGACTGACAGACTGATTACAAACCCACTCCACTCCACATCAGCAGAGCTAGGTTGATATTAACTAAAATTATTTAAAATGGCTTTTGTTAAAAAAAAAAAACAGTTAAATGTCAAAAAATATAGAAATATTAGATGAAAACGCAAACTTAAAAATTTAAATTGAATATTAGAATTACAAAATTACAACTTTAATAAAAGTAAAAATGAAAAATAGAAACAAAATTAAAATAAATGTAAAATTAAATAAAAATAAATCTAAATAAAACAAAACTGAAATAAGTGACAAAAGTACACAACAATATTACTGAAACAAACTAAAGTTAAAATTAAAATTAAAAATCTAAAAATAAAAATAAAAGTTAATTCAAAATTAGAAATGGTGACTTGCCACTAACTGAAATTAAGTACTAAACTTATTAAAACTACAACTGAAATAAGAATAGGTTCAACCTAAATAAAACCATCAAC